TTTTTAAAAATCATTCCACTGTAGATTTCTAATATTTTGTGTGTATAGAGAATGCTTTTTGTGAATTGCCAATTATTTGAAATACTTTTAAGACTTCTTTGGAACCTAACATATGGTCAAATTTGAAATAGTTTTCTATAACTTTGATGTATATGGAAGAGTATATATGTATTGGTTTAAGTTTATTAAACACATTTAATAAAGCTTTAAATAAATATCTTTGTACATCTCACTCCTCAAATGCATGAATATATCTATGTGATAAATTCCTAGAGGTGGAATTGTGGGTAAAATTGGAGACAAATTGTAAACACTGAAATATATTGCTTTCCACAGAGGTTCACCAGTCTCCACTGAAAGCAAAGTGTCTGCTTTCTCTACTCTCACCAACATGGGTATTACTGGGCTTATTTGTTATCAATCAACTGATGTTGAAAGAATGCAATCCCACTGTGGTTTTGAACCACATTTTTCTTATAGGTGTTATGAATGGAATGTTTGTGTCCAGACCAAATTCTTGTTGAAATCCTAATCCCCAATGTGATGGTATTGGGAGGACTGGGAGGTAATCAGTTATGAGCGTAGAACCCGCATATCATAAGAAGATTGCCATCTGCAAACCAGGAAGTGTGCCTTAGACAGACACCAGGTTTCCCAGTTCTTGATCTTGGACTTCTCAGTCTCTAGAACTGTGAGCAATAAATGTCTGTTGTTTAAACAACTCAGTTTATGATAATTTGTTACAGCAGCCTGAACTAAGATAGTCTCATTCTCCACCTTTTCTGTTGCAGTTATTCTGCTTGTCATATTTGTGCTGAATTCTTAGTCATTTTAAGAGTAAAACTTTTCTCTTTTTCTTTTTGGAGGTCTCAACGTACTTAAACTTATTTTTCAGACATATAGCTTATTGTCATTTAATCATGAATAATTTATTTTGTAATGACTGATTTTGATGAGATAGTTTTCTTCATGTATGTTAAAATTCTGGTTTGTAATCTCATCTTGGATCAGAACTTTCATTTTTTTCTCTCTGACTTTATGAGTTTACTTGTGCCTATCTACAAGCATTGCTGCTCGACTCTGGCCCACCCCATTATTTCCAGCACTCTTGGTTCAGAAGTACAATTTATATATTTTTTGTGTGTGTGAGATTCTATACTAAAACAATATTGGACTTTTATCAGATTCAATCTCCAAGCCAGACAGAAGTTCAGCTTAATTGCCATGCCTGTGATCTCCAATCTCTTTAGGCACAGGACTTCATTTAAGTAACCACCACTGGCGGCAACTAGCAGTGATACATATATCTTTTCAATTCTCCTTTCAAAAGCAAATGGAGTTTCTTTCCAGGTTCTGATTTCCAGTACTGCCTGCCTCCAGATACCAGCTTCATGTGGGACAGCTTTATTTCTATTGACCCTAAGATTTGAGTACCTGTTCATTTCTGCTAGCCTACTACCCAACCCAATAAGGTACTCAGCTTTAGCTTACCACTTGACACTGTGCTACACTCCTGTTACTTACAGATACATATTTTTTGTTCATAAGGCAGTATCTCCTTTATTTTATCCTGTTATATTTTATCATCACTTCCGTGTGTTGAGAAGTGAAAACAGGGAAGCAGAAAGTTCAGAGTGTAAACTTGAAGTCTCACCTTCACATGAATTCCCTTTTTATTGTCTTAATGACATTAGATTACTTGTGTGAATACACAACTATTTATTACTATCCCTACTGATAAGCAATATATTATTTCTAACTTTTTACTATTAAAAATAAAATGGCTTATTGAATATCTTTGTTCATATATAACCTTATACAATCCTACTCTTCTTTACATGAATTTCTAGAAGTAGGACAGAAGGATTAAAGTTACATTCCTACAAAGAGCTGCAGGGCCTATTTTCCCGGTACTTTGCCATCACTATGTAATATCAAACTTATCTTTAATTTTTCTAATCTGAAGAATGACATTTTTGAGTTTCTTTTCCATGACAGAGTGACTGAAAATATAATTCCCTTTTCCCCAGTTACAATACAACTGCTATTTGTTAGTCTAGAGTGTAAGAGAACAGATGTGACACAATGCACTTCTTGGTCAAAAATAGGTCCTTTGAGATTAGAAGTTCTTAAATGATGACTGTTGTATTGTACTTGAAGTTAGCTCTCATTCTCATCTTTATAGGAATATAAAAACCGAATGTGCCTATGTTTTGAACACCAATAGATGACAATTTATGTATTAAAAAGCTATTCTAACTACCATATATAAATTAATTAGCCTGAAAACTTTTGAATGTTCAAGCTAACATTTTAAAAATCTTTGAAAATAATCATGAACTCTGGATTGAACATTGTGGGTAAAGGTCCTGCAGCTTGTAAAACTGAGAATTTAAAATAAATGAAAAAATATCAAAAGGTTTGTAGATGAATACATATTTTAAACCATTGCTTATATTTGTGGTTCATTTTAATGACTGCAATGTTCACAGAAGTCTATCATAAATGTGACTTTGTAATTGTGCAACTCTTCCGAAGTTGGATAAATTGTGGTTTACTATATCCAAAACACAGATCAAATGAGAAGCAGATGGATAAATTATTACCTTTCACTTTTTTCTTTTAAAGTGAAATATATGTTTTATCACAGTTTCTTTTTACATCAAATTTTTGCTTACCTAAAAACTATTTGTTAGAAACATCTGATGTTTAATTAACAGCATTATTAAACAGATAATCCAAATCTCAAGTCACCACATATAAAAGTGTCTCAGAAAATTCAGTTCTCTAAAGATAACCAGCCTTCCTCATCATACTTCATATTTATTTTTATGTTGAACCATATTCACAGGAAGTTGTTTTATAATTGTTAATTGCAAAATATCAATACACATTTTAAAATAAATCACAAGCACTTAGAATATTCTCTTAAATTTACTTAATCATACTATTTATTATTTACATGCTTTGTCTGCAATTATTTTTTTCTCAACTGAAAGTTCAAACTAGTTTTTACTAACACATAGCTTTGAGAATTTACATTACTGTGAATCTCTTTATAATTTATTTCTGTATAGAGAAATTGCAGCCTGGTTTTATGTTTTGATCTAAATTTGCTTTAATAGCATATCCAAGTAGTTGAAACTCAGGATTTTCCATATTGGTTTACATTTTGTTTTAACAAAGCTTTGCCAGTTTCTTTTTCATATATGTTTTAAAAACTGTTAGCTGCTACATTTTAAGATTAATACAATCAAGAAAATGCCAGAAGTTATATGGGGAAAATATATACAACCTATGCTTTGAAGTATATTAGCTCGAGTCAAATAATTGGCTCTTTGGCATTAGAATTGTCCTATTAAATACAACTTATTTATGCCATCAATAATTCATTCATTTGACAATAATTCATCTATTAATTTTCAATTAATGCATGTTCCAAAAAGACCATTTCTAAACTTAAAATCACATTTTTTCTAACAAATTACCCTAAAATTATGAGTCTTTATGTAACAATTGAAGAGAGTCACATAATTGTGAAAAACATTGTTGAAAAAAACATTTTGGAAACACAATTTCCTGGCTAGGAACAGGCTTCAGGAGTATGTATTTATCTATACCTATGTTAGCTTGCATTTATTTTTCTTATTTCTTATTGGAATCCGTAATTGTAACCAAGAGGCATGTTTAAGAAAAGAAAGACAGTGCCTTTCTATACCTTTAAATGCACATCGGCCATGTGGTTTTCACAGTGTTTTCTTATACCCTTTAGTTCTCATTTGTACTTTTTGTTAGAATATGTAAAAATAGGGAGCAAAAGAAATCACTAAGAGCTCATGATTAGGCAACTGAAAAACAATTTCACATCAAAGAGAGATTCCAGAGATGATATCCTGAAATCTACAGAAAATTATTTCCATGGATTATTTGGAGGATGATACCAACCATTTCACAAATTACACCACAATAGCTCATTGTAATCTACTTTTCTCTAAACTTCAACACATCATCTGGCATAAAGAGGGAAGAAAATAAGTTTATAATTTCAACTGGAACCCAGTATATACAGTAAAACATAGTAGAATATAAGATATTCTATTACTATGACTTCTCCATTTTGGTTTCCTATTTGTACACACACACACACACACACACACACACACACACACACACATATGAAACCAAAATGGAACAGTCATAGTAATAGGGTATCTTTATAAAACACAGTAATAGCCTCAGTGACTCTTGGATCAAAGCTTTAAATGGCAGCCAATATCTTTGTCATAACAGAATTAAGCAATAGTACAGTAATATTTAGGAAATTAGTTGAAAATAAATACACATAATTCTGTCTTTCTTTTCTAAGTAATCTTCATTTAAATTTTAGGCTGAGGCGTTATCCACAGAAAGAGAAATGCTGCCAGCTGGTTTATCATACTTATCTCTCTCTTGATTCTGAATTTCCAGATTCTGTATTCCAGATTGCCTGGTTTAAAATCCCAAATCTCAAATAAATAAATAAATAAATTCAAATAAAATCCTAAATCTGACATGTTGGCTCTGTGAGCGTGAGCCAGTTAAAAACTTCTCCTTGCCTCATGAATTCATGCAGAGAACATTCATAGAATTATTCTGGCCCCATTGATAGTTCTCCCTAAGTGTTAACTACTATTATTATACATGAGCACATCTATCAGAAATATAAGACTACTTTTTACAAAGGTGAGATACAGAGTCAGGATGGGCCAAAAGGATTCCACACTCAGGGAGCCCCAATAGAAGCCAAAAGCAATGTTCACTTACCTGTACTCCAACAGGAAAACTTGGTTTTGTGGTCACACAATCGTATGGTACCATTGCAGCCTTTTTCATCACTACCATCTTCACAATCTTTTTCTCCATCACAGCGCCACAGATCAGGAATGCAGTTACCATCAGGGTGGCACTGAAATTCATTTCCATTACAACCAGCAGGAGAATGAATCTCTTAATTTGAAATGAGGAAGAGAGAAGCAGAGGGGGGCAAGATAGGAGAGAAATTATGATTTTACTTGTTGGTTGTTTTTATTTCACATTTTTTTCTTTCTTCAGACATTATTACAGTGCTAGAGAGAATACATTTTTACTTTAGATGGTTGATAGGTATAAATCTCTCTAGTATTTTCTAATTCATTTAAATAACATTAATAGTCAGAGAAAATGATGTTTCTTGCCTCCCCTAAAATTTCTGAAAGTACTATGTACATTAGAAAAGAAAAAGTAAGATAATTTGTGGATATTCTGTTGTGGTTTTTACTCATGTCTAAAGGATGAGATCTCTCAAGGGCTTTTCTCTAAGACACATAAATTAGGTTATACATTCTAATCTTAATGATAAGACCTTGGCTGATTTTCTTATCTTTCTCTAGGTAATTTCTTTCAAATTATTAAGAAGTAAATAACCAAAAACTAATAAGTACTTTCTGACTAACAAAATCTTTGAAGAATAGCATCCAAAATTCTGAGAAATAGATATAAAAAATCAGGTAATAAATGTAACTTCTGGACATAGGACTTCAATTCTAGAATCAGAATAGACACTTAAATGTTAAGAATTTAATTTAATGAAATACTATATATTCAAATGTATCAATTAATAATTCATAACAATGACCAGGTAACGTTATTGCCCCAAATCTGCTGATTAAAAATATAGGATAACTTCTGTAGGTAAACATAAATATAAGTAAGAAAATATAAATGTTGGGATACAGATGTTTGGCAGTTTAACAACTGAATAACATGACTGAACTGCAGCTTATTAAAACTTGTGTTAACGTCTAATGACATATTAATCTGTATTTCCAAATAGTATGGTAAATAAATATTTTAGCAGATATTTTTAGACCAAAGTTTTAATGTAACAAATTTATTGTGTACCTTGTATAGCTCTATCCAGCAATTAATGTATAAGCTACCTATAGCAGCAATTGATCTTTATAATTATGATAAATTTGAAGCAGGTTCAAGTGAATTTCTCATTATTTATTGCACTGGTTTGGTAGATATCTATGGTTATAAATTAAGGTTAATCTAATGTCAAAGCTAATAATAACACTGATATCACCAAAGCAGTCACTTACTCTTTTGAGACTTCTATTTGTTCAGTGCGAATGCACCAAGGGTTGACGTGAGAATTAAATTAGATATCTATAAAGCATTAATTCAATTACAAAGTTTTGTTGCTGTTATTTTCTATAATATAAGTGGTTTAGTTCTGTATTTTTCTTTATTTAAAGACTTTCAGCAACTATAATCTGTCAGGTGATACAATACTATAAAGATGTGCAAGATGGACTTGACCATACATCCTAAATATTGCTAGTGCAGTAATGCTGAACTGATAAATAACCAAAGAGAAACAACTCTGTGTAAGCAAGGGTAAAGAAGTTCTGTTGGTTGGCTGGGCGCAGTGGCTCAAGCCTGTAATCCCAGCACTTTGGGAGGCCCAGGCGGGCAGATTACGAGGTCAGGAGATTGAGACCATCCTGGCTAACACGGTGAAACCCCGTCTCTACTAAAAAATACAAAAAAAGTAGCCGGGCGAGGTGGCGGGCGCCTGTAGTCCCAGTTACTCGGGAGGCTGAGGCAGAAGAATGGTGTAAACCTGGGAGGCAGGGCTTTCAGTGAGCCGAGATCCGGCCACTGCACTCCAGCCTGGGTGAAGGGGAAGATTTTGTCTCAAAAAAAAAAAAAAAAAAAAAGAAGTTCTGTTGGTCAAAAACATGAATTGTAATTTATAGAAAACCATTAGGACTAATTTTCAAAAGTGATCACCGCTAAGAACACATACAATTAGTAAAGCATTGAGTTTTATCTGGCTTTAAATCCCCTTCCCAAAACAAAAACTTTATTTTTCTAGTATTCTAGCTATCTAATTCATTCTCACTTTGGACATACCATCTTCTATGGTTAGACAAAATTCTTGGTTTGCACACACACAATCAATCACACACAATCAATAAAATGGTAAAGTCTGTGCACAAGGGCAAGATATATATACAATGTGATATAGTAATTTCCCACCATATTTATTTAGCATCTGCAGAGTTCCCTATATAGAAATATATTCATTGATTCAAACAAATGTATTTAGAAAATATCTGGAAGAAGAAAATAAGAAATAACAATGCAACAATAAAAAAGAAAAATCAATAAACGATATAGTATAGTAACTATTTTTATCATATTTACATCGTATTAGGTATTATATGTAACACAGAGGTGATTTAAAGTATATTATGGGAGGATGTGCATAGGTTACATGCAAGTACTACATCATTTCATATAAGAAACTTGAGCATTCTTGAATTTCAATATCTTCGGGGTCCTGAAACCAATCCCCAGTGGATGTGGAGGGATGACTGTATGACATAGCTACTATAGTTGTAAAGAATTATTTGGGGACTGGTTTCATAAACAAGATATTGTGAAGTCTTTAAGCCTAGGCTATAACTTGAAAATTCTATATTAGCTCAATATTCAGGAAGAAGAAAAGAGACAACTCAGATAGACCTCCAAGGCCCATTCAGCTCTGTGCATCATTTTATGTGAAGAGGCCAGCTTCCATGCAGCAATGAAAGGGCTTTTTGTTCTTTTTTCCTTCTACTTAACTTTCCTCAAAAACAAAACAAAATATGCCTTGGCTCATCTGACTTTTATAGCCTGTAGCATGAGCTCAACCAATAACATTTAAAAATTGTATTTCAGGTAATTGTCAGAGATTCCAAATGTTTAATAAAGAATGGAAGATGTAATCTATTGATTTTTCTACATTCTCCAAAATAAGAATTAAAGACTGGCAGCTCATATATTGAAACTGTTCCTCAGTATGTTCAATTTGACAAACACACTATTGGTCTTTTAAAAATCTGAGAATTTTCAGTAAAAACCTAGACTCTCCAGTACCTTGAAAATTAGGGAGAGTCTTGGGATGGCATCCTTGCAAAGTTAACAACTGTACCTGCATTATATGTGGCCAAACTCAGTTACATTAGCACCTTCCTTTTATGAAGATCAAAGCAGAATCTTTGAGCAGAGAGAGTATGCTGTTATTGTGTAAGGTTTTTTCCATTTGCTTTGCTTGCTATTGTTTGATTTATTTGTGCTTCATAAGTTAATCCACTCATTCGTTTTCTTATTCTAAATAAATATTTACCTTATAAATTTAAATACAAATGTTGTATTTACCTGGAGATTTTCTTTCTTTTTTTCTTCTTAAGCTACCCATGTCTAAACCTCTGTATGCTGGCATAACATCTATTAAGGGTCACCACAAACGACTGCATTATAATAACATAAAACAAGGGTATAGTCCGAAGAAGAAAATACAATTTAATATTGTGAACTTTCAAACCTAAAGAGGATAACAATTTTCTAATAAAGCACATACACATCACTAACGTGTAGCTCCTTGTCTTGGTTGTATTATTCTCCCCAGCCTGGATTGCCTTCCTGTCTTCAGAACGTCACCCATTAATGTCAGTAATTTTTGCTGTTGTTCTTACTGTCATTGTTTTTGAGACAGGGTCTTGCTCTGTCACCCAGGCTGTAGTACAGTGGTATGATCATGGCTCACTGCAGCCTCAACCTGCTGGGCTCATACAGTTCTGCCACCCCAGCCTCTCAAGTAGCTGGGACCACAGGTGTGTTCCACCACACCCAGCTAATAAACAAAAACAACAACAACAACAACAAAACTGTACAGATGGGGTCTCACTTTGTTCCCTAGACTGGTCTTGAACTCCTGGTCTCAAGCAATTCTCCCGCCTCAGCCTCCCAAAGTGCTGGGATTCCAGGCATGGAATCCCAGCTAATGAATGTGATTTTTAGGACTCATTTGCCTTTAAAAAAAAATACCTAGGATTGGGTCTGTAGATTCAGAGACTTCATGAGTAGATTTTAGAGGATTTACAAAAGCTCAGAAATAATACATGATGCTTTTTATTGATATGCATTTTTTTTTTCCTGTGTCAGAAAGTTAGAGCTTTTGACTCTCAAGGAGGTCTTCAAGAGCAATGCCAAGACCTCACATTTCTCTGAGTGTTTATCTCCCATTCGGTGTACCTTGCATGGATACGGCAGCCTAGATGGCATTCCATTTTGCTTATGCTTTACATTAATTACATTAGATTGAACCCAGTGGAAAAAGGACCAATCATCAGCTCCTTTTGACTAAAATTGAATAGATAGGTCAGGCACAGTGACTCACACCTGTACTCCCAGCAATTTGGGAAGCCAAGGCACATGGATCACCTGAGGTCAGAGTTCGAGACCATCCTGTCCAACATGGTGAAGCCCTGTCTCTACTAAAGATACAAAAATTAGTTAGGTGTGGTGGCTCATGCCGGCGATCCCCGTTACTTGGGAGGCTGAGGCATGAGAATCACTTGAACCCAGGAGGGAGAGATTGCAATCAGCCAAGATCGTGCTACTGCACTCCAGCCTGGGGGACAGAGGGAGACTCTGTCTCAAATAAATAAATGGAATTGCCTATTGAAAGCATCCCATATTACAGAAATGATTAATTTTCCTGTAGTTATGCACATAAGTAGCAGAGATGAGATTCAAACCCACATAAATTTAGAGTCTGCTCAGATTTATGATTGTACCATTTTTAACTTCTTGTATGGTTTTTCTCATATAAAAACTCAAGACCAAAAATAGAATGCATTCATATAATCAAAAAGCATTTATAAACTCTTTAATTTTCATATTTAAATCATTGCTGTCCAGCCTGTTTATTTTCTAATAAAATTTAACATTTATTTTACGCTATTGTAAGATCATGATAAAATTTGTTCTTTTACAAAAAGTTCAATACATTACCTGTTGTGTGAGGCAGATTAGTATTACAACATGGCAGGCATTTTTCTTTTGTTTGTTTTTTTGAGATGGAGTCTCGCTCTGTTGCCCAGGTTGGAGTGCAATGGTGCAATCTTGGCTCA